TCCTGAAAGAGCTTAACTAAACAAAGTCAGAAAAGTGGTTGCTGCTATGTGACTTGCATTCCACCCCACAATTCTCTCTTTTGGAGAGTAATGATGTTGATTCAACCGCCTTCCAATGAGGGTCGACAAAAGCAGCTTAGTCTTGTTACTTTTTGCAGCTTTTTCAGAGTTTCACTCGACTTTGAACTGATAGACTAAACAAACGCGCCTCATTTTAGAGACAACATAATACTTATCCGAGTTGCTTCGTCTCGCGAATTCCCAACTGTTCGGGTGAATTTGTATTTATGTTTAATAAACTTCGACCAAATGTATTCCTGGCGCGGTAGCTGAAATAACGACAAGGTATATTTGACAATATCTGCAGTTTTGGAGAAAAGTTTTCCAAGAAACAGAACTAGTTACTTTTACTGTGATTAAAAGAATTAGATAATCTTATGACAGAACAGTGTGTTTGAAAACAAAAATACTGATAACAAATATTTGGCGTAATAGTTATAGAAAAAGAAGGTATATTTAAAGTATTTTGTTCTTATAGTATGGGTTAAGATACAAGTTGACAATTTAAATATGAGATAAGTAAACTAAATGAAGTTAAACGTATAAAATATAATGTGCATATATTATAATTTTTTGAGAAATAAAAATTAATAAGTTTGTCATAATTATTCAATTACTTTGGTTTCAAACGAAAATGTTCCAATTATGTACTGATGCATTCATTCATTTATTTTTTCACTTGGTATTAGTTGTACCATGCTAGATATATTAAACTTCCCTAGGTGTTAATGTAAAATAGAGATATATTTTAACGTTTTTACTGGAAATGTATTTTATTGTGCGTTGCAACATTTTAACATTTATCTGTTGCTGGCTGTATTTCAAGAAACTTTTATTTATTGTACGTGTGAATGCATTAAATGTTTAAGTATATCTATTATTACGAGCGGACATTTTTTTAATGATTCACTTATGACAAGGTTGGCAAACCAGTAACACGCGTGCCATCAATGGTACGCGACACAATATTTTTAGCATGCCAGCGATGAAAAGTGTTTACATTTTACTTCAAAATAACAAAATTCACTATAAAATATTACGAACAAAAGCGCCTGATTTCCGCGGCAGGGAGCACAGTCGTTTATTCTTGTCTCTTAGCCATTGCCTTAGTTACGTCTTGGACTACAGTTGCTTATGATGCAAAGTTTGTCCGCGCATAGCATAGTCAATTTCGTCAACACAACTGTATTTTAAAGTTTATTTGTGTTATACTTACGATTTTTAACTGTTATTCAATATGACTAGTTTAACAAAAGAACAAAAAGTGGAAGATATTATAATAAAAAATTTCAAACGTTGAATCCAAAAATATGGCATGATTAGTAAAGGCGACAAAAATGCGTAGTTTTGCGTGCTGGATGCAGAACATCGTCTGTAAAACCCGATTTTGAGAGAAATCACAAGTCCTTTGGCCAAAAAAGTGAGCCACAGCAGAAATAATTAATTGCTTAGAAACCACTTAGCAGATGACTCCAATTCAGCATGCATTCTACTAAAAGTAACATCTTACAATCTTAATATATAAGTTATTTGTCATCTAATCTTCAATAACAGAAGTCACACTCATGTCACAATGATTTGAATTGCATACGCAACTAAAGCATTTACAGCTATATAGTTCAAACGGTATTTTTTCGTAGCACATAAAGAGTTTTGAGTTGTTAGCTCTCTTAGTTTTATTATTTTTTCAATAATCACAAGTCAAACTTTTTCACAGCACGTCTATACCTCATTTAAACACTTCTTTACAAAAAATGGCATGTTGATCCATAAAGCGTCACCCCCCCTGCCTTATGATGTACATTTCTCCAAAAATATGTAAGATATTTTTCGTGTTAGTGTCAATGAGTTGAGGTTCGTGAGATTTCTTTTATTTTTTAAATTAAAAAAAATGAAATTTACCTTACATAATTACCTTGCATTATTTTCTAATGAGTTTAAATTTTCACTGGAGTAAAAGTAATTATTTTAAGTCGGTAAATATTTTTCTGGCATTTGCCCCTTAAAAAATTTAAACAATCATAATTTTTTGTGCTTTTTACGGTATGGAAAAATAACCTACAGGACTGAGCATAATGAGCCATGGTGAAGCAACCAAGAATTTCTTATTCACGCCCAGTTTTTATTATAAATAAAGTAAAACATCAAAATTGAATTTAAAAAGTGCAGTTTTTACTTACTGTAATTAATAATGATCTCTTTATCAAGCAAAAACAAAAGGCCGCGGAGCATTCGACCATGCTTAACAGCTGTTGGGTCATTTGTCATTATGGCTTTTCTCTCAGCTGTTTTCGAAAATAAACATATTTAATATTTTAGAAGCCTTTATTAAAATCCAATTTTTTACCAGTATTTATTCCGCAAAATATTTTGTATAAATGGGGAATTTAACAGCACTAAAAAGGTTACTTTTGGGGCACTTTATCATTAATGGATGGTTAGTTCTATAAAATGAGTTGTTAATATAATTTAATTTCTTCAGTGCATATTTTAAAAGTGTGTACTTAAAGTGAGAAAAAAATAAAAAATAACAATTATAAGATAATTAACCCGGCACTTCTCGCGCAGTGTATGTCACACCCAGCACCTAACTTTTTTTCCAAGACTTCATCTAAACCTTTTTTTGGAAAATGAAAAGTTTCTCGTGCACTTGGCTTTAAGGTAATATTTTTAGGAGCCTCAGCTTGTAGCAAATTTTAAATATATATATTTTTGGATACCGTTTCTCTTCTGGTATGTCATACCCTACATATGAATCGCCGTTATACAGTTCTAAATGTATGAGGACGCTTTGAAGTCTTTCTTATGCAATGGCGCATCATTGCAGTTGTGATGAAGAAATTTTATATATTTAAGTAATTTAATATATATATATATATATATATATATATATATATATATATATATATATATATATATATATAGTATAGCAGAGTGTGTTGTATGTGTGTATTTTCGGATGAAGGAAGATTTCACGGGGATGTTGAAAAAGAATGGAATAATAAAAAGTATAATATCAAGTATGATTCTTCTACAGAAATCGATCCAGATAAATTTTCTGAGGGAGCAATTATCATTCTTGATAAACTGATCACATAATATTCAATGGCTAGAAAATGTAATGGCTATCCGATAACAATATTTTGTGTTGTTGAACGTTGCGACAATAAATGGCCAAACTATTTTGTTTAGTACTCAGAAACCACCTACTAAACATCGAACCAGACGGTGATTTCTGAAGTGCTTTGGATTTTGATTTACAGAAGAATGTAGAAACCAGCAAGGTAATTTTTTCTACGAAGTTAAAAAAAAATTAAGAACGAGTGAAAACATGGCACTCACTCACAATGAAGACTAAATGAGTGTATAAACAATGTACTGAATATCCTAATATAAATGATCAGAAAAACTAAATTAACGTGTGAAAAGTGTAATAAACATATTGTATTTCCTACTTTCCTTCCTTTCTCACCTTTGTTCACCAAAATTTATGGTAAAAACAAAAGGTAAACACCCTTGGGTATGAGATAACCTGTGTTGAAATTCCATTAGTTTTTTCCGCGCGAGAAATGCCGGGTTAAGAATTTCTTTTAAAGAAATAATTGTAACTTCCGAAAAATATATATAGTTCAAGAAAATCATAACTTTTTTTTAAATTCTCATTTCACGAAATAATAATTTTTTTCCATTATTAATATTTTAAATTAAATATTGTTTACTTATTAGAATAAAATACTGTCTTTTGAAGAAATAAATAGGGATGAAGGATATTTTACTGTAAAATCAAACATTATTTTTAAAAAGTTATAATTAAAAAAAAACGAGATATTTTTGTTATATTTATTTGCAGGAAATATAAGATATAAGGGGAATTTTAATTTTCAGCAAATGAATCAATTTGAAAAAAAAACTTTTTTTTTCAGTTTGAAATAAAAACTATCCATTTATATCATTTAAAAGGGGTTTATACACCGAAAAAAAACCGAGAACAATATTTAATTCCTGATAGATTTCAAATGCTAAAAAATGGAAGGATATATCCTAATCTATTTAATTTCCGGTGAGTGTTTAAGCCATTATATAAATTAAACGGAAATGGCACAAACTTTTACAATTTATCTCTTTGAAAATCCTGTTCTTATTAAAAGGAAAGTGTTAATGTTATGCTTTTGCGAAACATTCTTTGTGTTTCAGGAAAATATATTTAAATGTTTGATTAAACTTTTACAATGTAAAAATAATTTTTGTCGGCTTTCAAAGCCAATATTTTCTAGCAAAACAGAAACTGATAATTTTTTAAAAAAAGCAGCATAATTGTGTACCTAATTATTACATGCAATGATATAGAAATTCTATTTTTGTAAAGAAATTAAATTTCAAAGGGAATTGAGATTTTTATATTCATTAATATGTTTCAGTCTCTTATTTTGTGTCTTATCAAATTTTATAACATGGTTTATTAAACAGATGCATAAGTAGCATTATAACCTCAATTTAGTGAAAAAAATAAATAATGCACGAATGTACTTATTTAAAAATGTATACTACCGCTGAAAAAAAAATACTGAATGATTAATACTATCTTAAATTGGATATCCATCTTTTTCAACTCGAAATAGCTTTTCATCTATAGCTACAGAGGTGTTGAAGCTCGTTTCCTTGCGACATAATAAATATTTAGAAGGATAAATATTTAAAAGTTTATAAGATGGAAAGTATCATTAACATAAGAATATTATGGCATAAGCAATTTAGTTATAAACTTTTTTTTTCTAAATAGCAATGTAGTCGCATGTTAGCATAAACAAAAATTAGTGCATAGCTTTTGTTAAACATAAAAAAATAATGAAAAAAACATGAACTCTACAAATTAAGACATGTAATTTATACATAGCGGAAATGGCCAATTCAAAAAGTAATAAAGAGAAATAATTACACAGAGACCGGATCGATTGCTGGCATCGCCCATGGTTAGAACTAAAGGAGGAATTTAATCTTGTTTCAAATATTAACTTATGTTCTTGGTTGCTGGAAATATTCTTAGCAAAGGTTTACATGGCGGTTCGTCTTCAACGATCCAAGATTTTTATCTTTATCATAGCAATATCAATGCTGTCGTCGGTTTCCTTTAATCACAAGACCTCCGGCTCCAAAGGCCAACAAAATAGCACTGATGTCCTAATCTATTGTTCCATGCGCCATTATCCAAGCGTAGCGCCTACTGTAAGCACCCTAATTTTTTCAACGTATAGCCGCCGACCACACTCTGAACAATCGGTGAAGATCATTTTGAAGATACCGGCCAAATTACCAAAAAAATGTAAGTACAACATCCGATAAGCGGACCATCCCTTTAGAGCTGAAATCCAATAGCGAGCTTTTTAACCTATACAACATTCACATATTCGTCATTACAACTAGAATTATGCAGCTGTTGGAATCATACATACTTGCCATGCAATGAATCCTCGCTAAAGAACTTTCTGAAAGGAATAAAGTTACTTATAGAGGGACAATTTATGTAAAAAAATATCTCATGAAATTCGGCGCGAAATAAAACAAATCTTATTAAAATAAATATAATAATTCTTGTTTTGCAGAAAATTGATGTAAACAATTATACACATGCATATATTCTTAGTAACTGTATACAAGTTATCCCATTTATAAAATTATACATTGTATTAAATGAATAGTTAGATTTTAATTATAAAGTTTTTTAATAATTAATTATGAAATAGTGTTAGTATATAGTAATGTATCATCATTTGACGAAAATCACGTGTAATAATTATAGTTGATAAAATAACAGTAATAATTTTTTTTACATAATACTCTGATGATTTTAAACTGTATAATTTTATTATTTTTAAAAATGCACTGTCTGTACTTTCTTCTAGAAATAAAAAATTATGAAATATAATCCTCATTAAATTAATACCATTGTGTTAACTTTAGAAGGCAACCTAGGTATAGGTTAATTCATTCGTGGAATAATTTCCAAGCGTAAATCTGCTAACATTATTTTCTTGTTGGTACGTCTGCACAATCGAGATAAGGATTTCCACACACAAATAAGAATTTTATTAATATATTAAACTAGAGAGGAGAGAGAGAGAGACATGCGCAAGGTATTGAATCCCCCAGTGCATATGAGAAAAGTTTTCAGAAACAAGCACTTCCACTTGAATGAATAAACTATTTGGTTGCTTATTATTTCAATATTACTATGAAATACGTTTTGTAATGAAACGCCTTACTTCTTCCCAGAAGTTGTGTATCCATATAATAAGCGAAAATTATTTCAAATACAATTGGAGCATAACATAACACGAATAAGATCAATATTGCCACTACGATATATGTAAGCTTTTATCGTACTCAATGTAATGTACGTTCAGCGTGTCAGGAACATTTAAACTAAAAGAAAACTACAAATGACTAATTCCAATAACTTAAGTATGTGCAAATGAAAAAGTACAGTGCATAATGAATTTATTAATAGCAGTACATCAGGTTTATCCATCTCCTTACAGCAGTGCTTCTCAAACTTTCAATACTGGTGCCACCCTTTTCGATCACAATTTTTTTCGCGCCCCCCTTATACATTAAAAATGTACTGAATGCAATAATAATGCACTTTGACGCTAAAGCTACAATAGGCGACCTTAATTATAAACCACACAAATTAGTAACATAAGTATTAAATTTTGTATAATACTTTTATAAGCAAAATAAATAAATAAATAAAATAATACGATAATTATTACGTTATTTTTCCTTTCTCTAATTTTTAAATTGAACATATTGCAAAATGCGGTGGTTGCTTAGAAGACAAAATATAGATATCTGCTAAATATAGAAAAATAACTCAGAGGGTCAATTTCTAATCATAAGCATTCCTTATAAAAACTTTGCTTTGCAAGACAAGCTCATGGAAGTCGTTAATACTTATTATACTTGTTCTTAATTTAGTATTAATTAATTAGTTATAAAATATTCTGTGCAGCACTAATTAATTAAGAGAAAGTTTACTTACCTACTTTCAAGGACTTTTAAATTTTTCTTTGGTAACAAACAGTTTTGCCAGAACTAACGATTTCGAAATATGTGTGTCCCGCGCGACCACTTCCGGGTTTTAAGTATATTCATTATGATAATATGTATGTTAAAGTTTTTCGTTATGCTTTACATGTTGAAAATATTTATACAAATATGTCTTGGCCAAGTAATCCTTAAAAGTACTTGCTCTCCCTGGTTTTCCAAACATCATAAAACTCTTTTGCATGGAAAAAAGCGCAACAGAGAACACATAGAGAGGGGTCATAACTAACTGTACTAATAACTTAGAAGGTCAAACAGATTACAGTTATAATGTGCAGAATTTCAAAAATAATGACAGTGATGAATTTTTTATGTTCCTAAATTTTTTCGATTCTGGGTCTGGGATCTGATTTTTCTCTGAAAGAGTAGTATGTTAGTTTCTCAAAAAGAAAGCGTAATAAAAAAAATCTCTCATCATGGGATTACAGCAAATCAAATAAAAGTTTTTTTTTATTTGGTTATAGGATCAAAGATAGCTAATTAGGTATTAAAGAAGTTTTTATTTTTGAGATGACTTAATATTGCGTGCGCGCGCTTATAAATTATATCAGAGTAAAAGAGCATTTTTTATTATGTCTGAAAGTATTTCGTTTTAATTCATTCCAATAAACTAATTATTTTTTAAATCTTTTATTTTCGATATGCTCGCGCCCCACAGTTTGAGAAACACTGTCTTACAGTTATTTCAATTGTTGTTCGATATTTGTCTTAATGTCCCTCTTTTATGCAACAAATTTTGAATACAGGGCAAGTTGTATAATCTCAGTAAAACTCAATTAGTTTCGACATCTTTATTATTTTTTTATATTGTGAAACATAGCTGACAGAACTATGGGTACAGAAAGGAAGAAAGTTTTTTGTACGTATTTGTACTGGTTTTCATATAAGAACAAAACGCTGTACAAGAAACTTAATGTGATTCAGGTTAAACAGTGGGGTGCTTTAGATCAAGTGTTGCAATTCCTTAGTATTTCTATTCCTAAATGCTGAGTTAGTGTAAACATGTGTAGTACAAAGCACCCCACGCTTTTACCACACAATGACATTAATTTTCTCGTAAGTCATATTATTCTATTACTAAGACTTTTTTTACTTTTTAGTTCGATTAACCATAAAAGCGTGTTCTTTAGTTTTTTTAAAACTATAATTAACTTTTCATTTTTTTGCTTGATCTACAGTAAAAGCGGGTATTTTTAGTGTTTTAAACTATCAGTTATTCATATACTTTTTCTTTCTTAATGTTTGTCCCACAACCGAAAAAGTTTGCCCAACCCTGAGTTAGAACAACATTTATTTTCACATGTACGAGTCTTTTTTTTTATTTACATTTTCAGAAAGACTGGACAGTTTTTTATATTATGATAAGAAATTGCTGACGCAAAAAAATAACGTTTTCACTTTTAGGGTTACTCTTAAATTTTTAGTTGCCAAATCTGTAAATGGGAACTGAAATTAGTTGCCAAATGTGGAAACAGTATATAGAATTATCACTAAATCTGGCAATGGCATATGTAATTAGTCGCCAAGTCTGGAACAGGTATAATGAATTAGTCGCCAAGTCTGGAAAAGGTATAATGAATTAGTCGCCAAATCTGGCAATCGTTATTCCTGATTATCCTGTTCAGGACAATGAATCAAGATTATAAAATTATTGCATTGCCATCGGTCCTTGATAAGTGTGCAAAATTTCAAATTAGTCTGGTTTTTTAAAGTGGGTAAAAATCGAGTTCAAGATCCCGTTATATACAAGTCAAACTTATCAAAGCGTGTTAAAAACAGAGATAGATATTATTTTTGGGCACTCAAGACAGACCGTGTTTACCTGCCAATGGCTTAGAAATGAAAAACAGTAACAGCTTCGATGAATGTTTTTGTTTTGAAGAGAAAAATTGTACCAATTAGATACGCATAATAAACTGATACTTTGTATCATCCGTTGTTTGAATGCGTGCGTGCTTGACACGCATCAATTCCCCGATATAGTTTTCGCATTAATATCAAGCAACTTCGCGTGAATATCGTTTAATGTCAGAAATCATTTCCTTCGAAACTAAGTCATGTTCCGCCATGTAAAATGTTGACTTACTAGATTGGAAAACGATAACAACGAGTAGAGTGTTCCGTTGCGGAACAATAACCATTAGGTAACTAGTACATTAAATCTCTGTACATTCCGCTGTCGGGTTAAGCTATTAATGTGCTAATGTATTAAGTGTGTTTGAATACTTAGGGTCGTGTAATGAGCGTAGGTAACACGGTTACATTGGAAAGGAAGGTTACGTTTATTGCGCGTAAAAGATAATGGTGTGATTAATTTTAATAAATGGACACTCGGATCCAAGGCGCTGCTCGCGAAACGCCTGCGATTGCCAACGGAAATGGCTTTGGAATACTTGGAAATTTCAGTTATGGTTCCAAATGGGCGAATAGTGATTTTGAATACAGTAGATACCGAGCATTACTATCGATGGAAAGGACATATTAGTAGGCAATTTTAAGAAACGTATATTTACTGTTGGTTGTTGAGGCTGTGTTAGGAGTGTTTAACTAGCAGTCTGTTTACAGAGGAGTGGCTATGATGTTTGCGTTCCATTGGAATAATGAAACTTAAATTGAACTTTGCGAAATGTTAATATATTAAGTAAACTCAAACAGACATTTTATCTAACGGAATTTTAAATATTGTAGGTAGCATAAAAAATATATATTCCCTCTTTTAAAATTTAAAGACCTCGAATTTTTGTCCTGCATGCTATATAAATCTCTAAAATATTTCTTCTTCAAAAGTGTCCAGAAAAGTTTCTAGAAGTACGCCTTGGCACCATTTTGGTGCTTATTTTAGAAAAAAAATATTTATCGACATGTGGACTACAATAGGAATTAACTGAATGTCATACGGAAAGTACAAAAATCGTGATTGGATATGAATATATTTCCCAACAGTATTATGCAATTTTGGTTTGAAAACTTTCTGAGATAAATAACTCTTTAATTCCTCATGATTGATTTATTGTATTATACTTATTCATTTAAGAAAACATGGCACTAAGCCAGTGCTTCTCAAAGTTTCAATATTTGCAACCCAATATTCTATCCTAATTTTCATCGCGCCCCCTGCATACAATAACTGTATTTAAGTCAATAATACTATACTTTGACACAAAAACAAGAATATGACTTTAACCTCTTAAGTGTCACCGGGGTATATAAACGTCTCACTCAGCTAAAGTTATAATTACCCTAGACGTATATCTACGTATTTCCGAAGTACAGCATTTTTTAGGCCCTACTATCCGTAAAAAAAATTTGTTAATTTAATTTTGCCCAAATATTATATTTAAATAAATGTTTTTGTCAAAATGTCCTTAAACCAA